GGTTTTTTCCTGCAATCTTCAACCCTGTACTATATAGTTTATGTATGATCTACGAAGTCCGGACAGTTCACTGTGCCTTCTTCAGTTCAACTTGTGCTCGTCCTCTCATCCTTCGGCATATCACACAGTCCAGAAGTTTGAAAGGAGCAAACAAGTAGGGACCAAGTCTTCTTCTTCCTCTGTCAACCGAACCGTGAATGCCCTTCTGTGTTTTCGATCAGGTTTCCCTGTCCACTTGCCCCCTGTCTTGCCTTCAAAGATAGTTTTAAAAACGCAGTTAGTCTTCCACAATAATACGAGCCGTCGCTCCTTAATCTGACCAATTATTTTGTCCCAAAAGCCGGTGTCCACAAACAGCAGGCCGCCCTGTCCCACTCTGGTGATCACTTCAGAATCCCCTACGAGCTCTGTGTTGAAAAGCCTTTGAGGTGTGACATCGTCGCTTAGCTGTGGAATGATGTCGATGAAGATTTATAACAATAATTTATACCTTTCAAATGAGCAAGTAAATTCTCATGACGAGCATGCATGCCAGTTATGCTAAGAGTAACAATCTTAAAATACCGATAAGCCAGCACTGTTTCGATAGTTTGAATACCCGGGCTGTAACATAAGCTACCCAGCAAGGTCACAGAAATGTTAATTTGTAAAGCCACTGTCAGTATCAAGTGGTACACCTAAATTTCGTCTCGTCTTTTGCGGATGACTGTACCCAACTGGAAACCAACCAATATTCAGGTAAGCACCGTGCCTACGCATGATTAAAAGCTACTGCAGTAGGAAACAATCACTCCGATAAACTGCAAAGTGGACTAAAACACACGTAAGGGTGATAATTCATTAAAAATACATTCACAGAAGATACACGAGAAGCAGCTATGCAGTCTGTGGAATGATTATGTACACTTGCAACAGATGATGCCCAAGTATCTGTAGCCCATCCAACGAATACTTGGTTCCAAAGAGTGCAATATTTAATGGTGAAAAGGTTTGCCCTAATTGATTTTCTGTGGGTAGCCACCTTGACAAGGTAGTTTTCCTTTCGAAGCTGATATGATTTGATATTTTCCCACGTTATGGATGAGTTACTAGAACAATGTTTCCTAATGACTTTGAGGAGTAGAAAGAAGTTGCACTTCACTCTCCTCAACCGCAGAGGTTCTAATTTCAGACGTATACACCTGTCAACATATTCCACTTGTTGGTCAAACCCTGCTATGCGTTTCGTGAGGAATCTCTGGACACTTTCGATTTTTTCGGTCTGCAGACCTTAGGTTACTAAATAGGAAAGCACAATATTCAAGTTTGGGGCGGATACATGTTCTATATATAGCTAACCTCGCTTCTTGGGTGTAGAAGTTAAGCAGTACAAAGCCAGTAAGTCGTTTGCAGTCAGATACAGCCTTATTTGTATGGTCGGAGAAGGTTAAATATGAGTATGTTATCCCGAGATCTGTGACTGTGTTCAGTTTCGATCATATTATCATATTCCCTGCTGGATGAAGGGGGTCAGTATACACAACCTATAAGGATAGGTTTACTTCTGAGAACTTTTATTTCGACCCATACCGAGTCATTAAGTTGCGACAGAATAGGGTGACTAAAATGCGTTGCACAAATGGATTGTTTAACGTATATAAGTGTTCCCCCCACGACCTGTTTCTCTATTCACTTTCGAAAAAGACTGTACTTATCAATCCATAAGCTATCATCCGTAATATCACTTGTGCACCAGGCTTCAGTGATCATGATCAACGACGGATTACATATAGAGGCTAACGTACATAATGCTAAGTGTTTATTAAGCACTGATCTGGCATTTATGAGGATGACGGATTGACTTTGACTACATAGTTTTTGTGTATGGACAATATCGTAATAAAATACTCTATGATTATCACCTGAATACGTGCAGTAGTTGTCGATCTCATTACCTACTACCTTTTGATCACTAGAAACGTTTTCCTCAACTTGATACCTAGGGATGGGTTGTGAAAAGTCACTCGTGCGTGGTTGGTCGTTTAGATAGTGCGTGCTATGAGAGATACTAGTATGATAATCTAGAGTATTACTGTTGATATTAGGTGTGTATAAGGTGTTTGCTATCTGCCGGGGAAGAAGCAGTTTCCCTGCTGTAAGCCGTTCGCTATACCAGCAAGGAATTGGTCTGATATCATGTGTGCTACGTACATGATCACTGGCGTTTCTGCCAGTTGTCTCTGGAGAAAATTTTGGTCATATGAGTTAGCTAGAGCCGTGTTATCTTCACAGTTATAACCGAAATATGTGATCGGCGTGTTGTTATGTGCATATGATTTAGGTCCCGGTGTCTGGTCAGAGTACTTCCTAGGCCATGATGAGCATTGTGCTGCAATTGGCATGTGCCCCCTACTGAATGCATGGTAAGTATAACAGGGCAGTATATGTGTTTTTGACCTAATGTCTGTATTCTCAGACTGGTGTTTCCTGTACATCATAGTTGAGGGTGCATTCGTGATGGGCTGAGTAACTCCATGTTTTTGGAGTGGTTGGATAGATATGTAACGATTGTTTTTTGTTGTCATAGGACTGGTAGTCGAAAATGAGTAAGCTCCCATGGTAGGTGAATTATGTCTAACTTGAGGAACATGACTAAGTTTAGATGGCTTTCCATCTGTAGAATGAGCCGGTGACCCTTTTGAAGCTTTCGTACTTGTGGGATTTAGTGTTCCGGATGTAGCGTTTGGTTTGGGCTTTTCCGCATTAGTTGGCTGGTGTAATTTTGGCTGCTGGTGACTTGTAGGATAACCTGATAAACTGGATTCCTGTGGAATAGTTCTTTTGGTGTTCCTTACGGAAATAGGACGTTTATCAAATCGCCTTGAATTTACGCCAACCTGGGTGGCCGCATGTGATTGCCGCCTCACAGTAGCCGGGCTACGAGGTTGTGCAATATATGACTTTTGGGGAAATTCAAAGTATACGACTGAATTTCGCTTAGACGTTTTCGAGGGTTTGGCATTCGTGCCAGTGTGCAAGGGATGAACGTCATTACTATGATCTGTTGACATTTCTGTGTCTGCGATTTCAGTATTTAGAACTGAGTCCTCAACAGTTATTCTACTACTGTTAGTTTGTGCATGCGATATTATCTGGCGCTCTTGGTCATTAGGCAATACAACGAGGGAGGTATTAACAACGGCTGTCTTATTGGAGTTATCTTCATTTAGTTTACGTGTGCGGCATCGTCTTTGGCAAGGAGTTAAATCAGGTACAATCCTGATATTGGTGTAGGGTGTTGGGGAGCCGAGAATTTCACCTGACTCCAAAAATTTCTTAGCTAGGTCAACAGACTTAAATTTGGAAAGTACTAGACATGGGTGGTTCGCAGATTTCTTACGAAGACGCAGAACCTGGAAGTCAGATAGTGAAATGTTGCATGCCTGCAGACAGACTGCTTTAAGTCTGAAAGAAGGGACATTGTCTGGTATATTATATCCTGAGACATTATATGAGGACATGCCCCTCTTTACAGCCTTTGCAGTCAAAAGGTCTAGCAGCCGCTCAGATTTGAGAAGTAAATCTAAGCAAATTTCTTGTGAACGATCACAAAGTTGGATGAAAGGAGTGATGCTTACAAATTTATCTTGCAAGTCTCTTACGGATTTCTGAAGGATCTGTAAATCACTATTGTTACGGGCTACGTTATCAATTAGTTCTTCCATTAAGTTTGGTACCATAACTCTCGGTGTACCGATTGATCTTAGTGCAAATTCGTCATCAGGACTAATGTTTTTAGTGAACTGCTGACTATTTGATGATAGTCTCTTAACAGAACTAACTCGTTTAATAACTTTGACCATTATGGAGGTGAAGATTATATTAATTTCTCAAAAACTGATAAAAGTGTGTGAAATGCTGTTATATTATCTCAATAGATAAAACAACGATAAACAGGTATGAATGTATAAAATACAAACTAAAAATAGACCACTATCAAATAAGTTAACTCTGATAGTTATAGACCACAAAACTAAGGACTTCTCTATGGTTCGATTGTGATAGGTTGCTCTTTATTCGCACGAATTTGACTGGATCCAAATAGTATTCTGGCGGTGATAAAATCTGGATATTTAGTTACTGGATGTGCAACCAATATCAGTTATTATTGTATAGTAGTCAAGCATAGATCGCGATATTCCAGAATGGAAAAAATGATTTCCACGTTATATGGAGAGATTGTAACGCCTACACGAAGCGCGTCGCTCAGGTTGTTTGTGGACAACGACCACACAAGTGAAGTAGGAGGGGGCACCACTTTTCCAACTACGAACGTATGGTGATCCGAGAGAAATTACCTAAAACTACCACACACTATCAATAATAAGTGGCCCACAGCCTCATATCTCTGTGGTGAGGTTTATAAAGGATATCCAGCTACTGAATTTAGAAGGAACTCATATAAATTAAAAGTTTTCTGGTGCGAATGATTTATCAAACCGGGGACAGCTTGGTATTTTATCTCTTACCTTCATGATACAATAGACAGAGACGAGATCCATTCAAAGCATTCGAAACCCTAAGGAGTGACTGTAGAATGTGAAACACTGTCTGCCTGCATTTCCACTAGGTCAAAACATCTGAGAGTAAATAACATGGCAGTTTAAGAGCCAAGGAAGAACTGCGGGGTACTGGTTCTCCCAACGAATAATTAATTCTTGTGACACTGACAACAAATGGAGTCTGAGCAGTCCCTGGACGCGTTTAATGAGAAACAAGACAGGCACGCATACTTATTAGCAAAGGAGTAATATTTGACTGAAGCCTTCGATCACCAAACAAAAATCTGAAATCTGAGAAATCTGCTGTCATCACTTAAATCCATATGCTGTATATCTGTAAGAGTTGATTCCAAGCCAGTTATTTACACTTTCAAGTCTTATAGGCAATAAGAACTTCAGTATTTATGTTAATCTTATGAAAATTAAAGTGTCAATGAACAGCAAATACATTATTTCACTTGTTAGGCTGTGTCTGGTGGCGCTCAGTTTGACTATCTAAGCATGGTGAGTTGTTAGTCCTTTGTTTATTCTACTTGGTTATCTTTGAATGTAGCCGAACAAACCGAAGAAGATTATAAAGGCCAAAAAGATCAAGGAGATTATCCCCCAGGAACCTGAAATACCAACTGTCCGAAAGGGAAAGCCTTCAAAAGTTGCCCCTCTACCTGAGATAGCTAAGAAGACAGCAGCCAAGAAAGTTGTTGTCAAGAATCCACTCATCCAGCGTCGCCCTAAAAACTTCAGTATTGGTCAGGATATACAGCCGAAAAGAAATCTTTATCGGTTTGTGAAGTGGCCCAAATATGTTGAACTGCAACGTCGGAAGGCAGTACTCAAGAAGCGATTGAAAGTCCCACCTCCAATCCACCAGTTTTCACAAACGTTAGACAGAAACTCTGGTATGTCTAGTTAGTGAACCATATTGGCTTTGTAGCGAATCAAATTTTCAGCTTGGTTGGAAAGTATGAGCCTCTTAGCAAGAGAGCTAAGAAAATGCTCTTGGTTCATCGGGCTCAACAGCGCGCCGAAGGTAAACCTGACGAGCCAGCAGCCCGTAAGCCTACCGTGAGGTCTGGCATTCGTGAAGTGACAGCTGCCATTACACAGAAGAAAGCTCGCCTGGTTGTAATAGCACATGATGTAGAACCTATCGAAATTGTGTTGTTCCTTCCAGCACTCTGCAGGAAAATGGGTGTACCCTACTGTATCGTTAAAAGCAAAGCCAAACTAGGACTACTGGTCCATAGGAAGACTTGTACTTGTCTGGCTCTTACCAATATTAGAGAGTAAGTTCGATTTACCTATTTTATATCCTTCAGAGAGGACAAATCTCGATTAACCAAAATAGTTGAAATGGTGAAGAACAATTATAATGATAGATACGAAGAGGTAAGAAGTATTTGTGGATATAATCTTTTGCTTAGATCCGCAAACATTGGGGTGGCGGTGTTATGGGTTCCAAATCCATTGCAAGACAAATTAAGATTGAGAAGGCAAAGAAGAAGGAGTTGCAAATCAAACTGGGTTGAATTTAATTTTTCAATATATGCTTACGGAAAGAGTATTTGTTTTTATTAGGGAATGGCAATTTTTGATCTTGGGATATATATTATTTTACTCACCGCAACAGTGCTTTAAGATGGTTTTCTGTTAACACGTAGACTGCATGTAGGCTTTAATAGTCTGATGACTAGGATGAGTGGTAAGGTAGCAGCCTGTGCAGTAACCCACTGTCTCTTGGATGCACTGACTGTTATCATGGTGTGTTTTAATAAAACCCTTCATTAGTGTCTTCTCAAATTCACTATGTAGGCTGGTTGGTGTTGATGAGACACTAAAGGTGGATTCCGAGTGTTTTTCAATACAGCAGTATTCGTTTCAGTTTGTCACTGCATCCTCTATGATCTCAAGGCAGTAAAACCCAGTGTGATATAATACTTGAAAGTTGCTCTCCATTATGGTTGTGTGATCAAAAGGTAGGCATTGTGTATTGTTTCTAATTTGGTGTTGTGTGATACGATTGTATTCTTGATCATATCTTGGGTATGCAAGACCCCTTTGATTTTCTTAAGACTAAAACTAAGGTCAACTTTCAATCGTTGTTATTATGTTAATGATGTGATGGCAAGTTAAGGCATATATGCTACGAATGCTGACGATTAAGTTGTATACTATTGACGTCAGCATTACCTTATGCACCGGCAAATCTTCATTGGGAAGTAACTAGATCAAGGTATAATTGTACAGACAGTATGGTCTTATGTACTGCATGTTTATGTCGACGTTCTCAAGGGCTGTCACGTGGCACGAAATCCATCATTAACCGAAGAAAAGTGTCGAAAATTTGTTAGTGCCTAGATGAATTTGGGTTATAAATAATTACAAAATGAGAGATCTTGGCCAAAAGCCAAGACCTCATCTATCTAGTGAAACCGCCAAACCTGATGTGCAGGTATGTTGGTCTCTATCTTATTACACAATAACACCAGGGGATGTTTTTGTATGACTAGCTACGTTGGTCTATCCTGACTTGGTTGACTGATGCCCTAATTTGTAATACGTAAGCACCGACCAAAAGTCATATTAAGGCCACCAACCGAAGTGTAATTTTAAATGTGTTGTTGGGACATATCTGCACCTCAGGTGTAACGCGTAATTCGTATAAGGATGAAACTTGGGCACTGTGGTAGCGTATAACTACATTATGAATAAGATTTTATCCATAGTGGAGCCAAGGCATAATCGTTCTGAAAGTTTCCAGTACCAGCTAAGGTGTGATTCCTAATTCTGTGCTTGTGTACCGAACTTAAAATTGGGTGTTTGTTGCAAATAACTTGCACATATAGCTTGTAGGTCCCCTGTGAATGCCTAAATATGGATGGGCGTGGGAAAACCGGAAGCGCTGTCATCTAAGTACGTAACTATAGCGTATCATATGATTCCTAACAAAGCCTTTCAAATGGTGTACTGTCCCTCCAAAAGTGAAAAGGCGACTGTTCAACACTTATTATCGAACTAGTGTGTTTATTAAGTGGGGTTGGAATGCTGATTCTCAGTCTTATGATGTACATTGGTTTCAGGATCTGAAAGTCGCGTGAACCTGTTTTAGTTGCAGGCGACCGTGAGAATGCTGATCTGTGGACTTGAGTTTAAGTCAAAGTCTTGGGGAATTGTCCTCTTGAGATAACCACCCACTTCGATGTAGTTGTCCGGAGAGTTTTTCGGTCTTCACACCATCCCCGTTCTTATGTGGCACATCTCCTGTAACTTATGTTGTAACAGATCTGTGTTTAAGTAGATGTAGATAAGATTCTGCAAGTTTTTAAAAAATGCTGAACGTAAGTACTAGAAAATCGTATCAGTAATGCTAATGTAGTAATATGGTGTGGTGACGTCACGATAAACCTACTTTGGCTGCATTATCAGGAATCAGAGACAATCGTTATCGTTCACTAATCTATCTTCACGAAACATACAGCTCTAAAACTATGGGGGCTTAGGTAGTCCCCGGTCGACTTAATCAAATAGGTTTTTGAATCGAGATTATACTACAAAGGATCTTGATGGAGAAATAATGTAGCCAAGATGACGTAATCCGCTAAGAGGAATTAGTGAATTTGTGGTGAGAGCTGTCTACTAGCCAAATTGGTAGACAGTAATTTACATCAATGTCTAAGTTCTCAAAATTTGTCGTGAAAAAATATGAACAAAACTGATTCAAAACCGACCACAGCAGACTTTACGTAGGCGGGTACAGTTAACATATAGAGGATTTGACATTCAAGAAACAGTCACAAAGAGATGAAAGATTAACTTTAAGTGAGAAACAACCAATCAGAGGACTGTGTTTGTTTGCTTAACTAATCTATAATAATGTACATGAAAATATATAAATATGCTTTGATTTCCTTAATAAACGATCTGTTGCCTGGCCCTTGTCTTCTGTTGTTACAAATTTATTACATTTGAGAAGTCACGTACAGCAGTAAGTCTGTGTACTACCTTTCGTCATAGATTTCTTATTCAATACCGTCTCAACGTATCTGTCGGTACCAGGTGTCGTGTTACTTTTATTGAGTTACACTGTCCCCCCCCCCCGACCGATAACTGCTACCTTTCCGTGGTGGTCGGGCTTGAATGCCGCAGTGACCCAACAAGCTAAACTGGCTGGGACTCATGTCCCTGCAGGTCCTACCATGTCAGGAAGGTTGTTTGGTTAGCGGTTAGGCTAAAAGCAGTTACCATGGGGTACATGGGCTCCAGAATTCAATCGGATTGAATGGCGTATGAACCCATATGGGTCACCGGCAACCATGGGAACGCAGCTCCGCTGCCTTGCGGATTAGACTCCAAGTCAAAGGCTCGGGGGGTGGTCCCTTAGGAAAACCACCTGCTTCGGTCTGGGCGCCCGGGCAGTATCTCAGCCCTCACACAATATTGTGTGGCGCATCTTCCTTGGTGCCATATTGTACCAAGTTTTTCTGCGTTTAAATGAATAAAAAAAATAAAATGTCCCCCACAGGACTATCCCTTTCCCAAAAACCCTTTTACATATGCTCTACTTTATGGTGATTTTTAATAGACGCATATATTAGCGGCCAATATAAACACTTAAGTCTAAATACTACTAGGAAATTATAAGCAACAGAATACAAATTCACTTTCATAGGTAAAGACAGGAAAATGCACCAAAGACGTTCGATTTAATAATATCGCTGTCCATCTGTTTTCTGTATTACATTTACGATCGGAGTTAACTTATCTCTGATCCAATGTTTGCTTTAGAAAATGTGATCTTTTACTCGTTGAAGAATCAACGTACAAATCTGTGTTGTGGTTGCAACTGTGTCTCACTTGCTTCAGGCTAGAAAACCGAAGTTTCCAAGCCCTCGAACACCGAGTGCAACTCAAAATCTAGTACGGTATCCGACACCTTGTGGCAGTAAGATATAGTCAAACGTTTACCACTTTACACAAGAATGACTTGCAGTTTTCTGGAAGCCAGTTTGTGTGGGAACTTCAGCAACTATAGTATGTTACCAAACAAGTTCTCAGTCAACAATAGAACTTAGACCAACAGACAAGAAATGCTCCAGTCATTGGAACTGTACGGCTAATCGTAAAATATATTACAGTTCTGGTCAAAATGACGGGTAAGTGAATTGGTACGGGCGACGTATTCCGAAACCTCATTCAGACGTCAGTCAAGTTTGGTTAAAGAAGGCCTGGTTGGGTACAGAGGTCACCCCACCAAGTAAGAACACTCTACCGCCCTATGCTCTACTTGGAACGTAAAGGAATGATATAAAAACCAAAGCTGGGCGCATTTCTCAAAGTCTTAGCTGACTATTCTCCATAGCTTTTCTACTCAACTAACGAATGAACATACAACACAACATAAAATCAATATACAACAATTAGTTTATTGTAATAACATAAAATAGAATATGAAAAATAGATATTAACATTTTTGAGACTCTAAAGCTGCTTTAGCACGAGTAAATGCTGATATAAATGCACTCAATTGTAGTCTTTCAGATGAACCTTGTGACATACGTTGTTCTATATCTGACATAGCAATCAATAAATCACAACGAATAGCATCCGGTAAGTCAACTAAACAAGAAAAAGCACACAAAGATAATCAAAAGTGAAAAATATAAACGAAATTTTTAGGCAAATTGACATGAAGGCATTTAATTGAGAGCGAGGAGTAGTACTCGCCAACAGGTTAAGCTTAAACATTTGTAAAATTTCAGCGAAATTGAAATGAGTAATTCCAACGTTTCTACGTTCGGAAAACTGGTCCGAACTTCTTCAGGGAAATTAATCGAAATTAAAATAACAGAGGTTTATATGTAAAAAGGGCATCTCTTGTTTTAAAAAACTTATATGAATGGATAAAGTTTTTAAAAAACAAGAGATGTCCTTTTTATGTATAAACTCATGGAAAGTTCCCATTGTAACATGTAGAAAATCAGAACAAGTGATTCAGCGAAGAGAGTCTTTTCAACAACGAATTTATTATCAAGTTGTACAATCCTACATATATGGTTTTTTTAGAGAAATTATATCCGGTGAGCGAATTGAATCATAGGTGTGAATACACAAAACAATGATAGTAGCATGAAATGTAATTAAGATGTTTGTGATTATAATCATAGTTCAGTGTGAAGTGGCAAAATAATTAATATCATATACAGAACAATTCATAGGATGTATAGAAGTTGGAATGGGTGTGGAATTATAATTATATAATTATAATTATTATATATAATTATAATTAAAAAAAAGGAATTATAAGAGTGGTAGGCAAATGGGATAAAATAAAAACGTTACGTAATATTGTGTGAAATTTAATAGCATAGAATTTAACGTTGCAAAACAGAAATGATTTAGACTGACAAGTGGACCGAGTGAAATAATTCCGGGGACAATTCACAGTGGGAATAGTAATAGTAGTAACAATTGACGTAACAAAGGAAGAGTATACAAACTGAATAGACAAAACGAGAAAAATTGAAAGCCAAAATATGATTGGGGATTACCATAATTTAGCATAGAGGGATTAGGACCATGAAGGTTGGAGGGATTGAACGAACTTTTCTTGTACACAGAGCTCTGGCTTTTCTGTTTCGATAGCCAAAGCTTCAACAAAACAGATGAGTTGGATAAGTAGTGATTTGGGAAAATTACATTTTGCCTTGTAGATGATGTAGATGACTTTAAAGGTGGAGGCTATAGA